AACAAGCAGTCCCACCCCCACCCCCAGATGCTGCCCCACCAGCAGCAGCAGCAGCAGCAGCAGCAGCAGGGTCTGTGCAGGCCTTTGTTACCACCTCCACCCCCTCCTGCCACCCAGTCCCCTCTGCTTCTAGATTCCGCCGCCCTTCCTCCAGTTCCTCTGTACAGACTGAGAAGATTCCCATGTGGAAACATCGGCTACGGCTACCAGGAGCAAGGCGTGCCAGTGGAAGTTGCCCACACCAGCCCCACATCTCTGCCCCTGCCCGTTTTCCAACAGGCCACCACTCAGTCCTCTTCAGCAGCTGACCAAAGAGGCAGGTCTGTCCCCACGTCAGTGTCCTTGGTGCGATCAGGCCTCTCCGAGGACGGCCGCTCACTTCTGGGAACCATGGGAACGGTGCAGGACCCCAGACTGCCTAGGATGGAGGGCCACAACGCCACAGTGCTTTAGCCTCGATGCCTGTCCTGCTGTGGTCACTCCTCTGACCCCGTCTGTGTCCGTATCCCACAGCTACAAACACTGTGCCAGGAAAACCGTCGTTTCTCATCCCTCGACCAGATTGTTTCCTTTTCCTCAGACCCATCTGGCCTTTCCTCTGGAGTGAGGAGGTGTGTTCTGATTCCTAAATTGATGCAAAAGCACATCAAAGTATTTGGAAAAAACAAAACAAAAAACAAAGATCCAACATTTAGACTACAGACTCTTTTAAAAGATTCAAATGTATTTTTCATTGCTGGAGGGATTCTAGCTGAAAGGAAAACCAGTTAATGGAAGAGGTAGACAGCAGGACCACACCTGGAGATGATGCATTTACTGACAGCTCAGGATGTTTTATGCCTACGAGAATGGACTTCAATCTTTATATAATGACAGGTTTGTGTTGGTGATGACTGCTACGTCTTTGCCAGGTTGTCTACAGCTGCCGGTGTCACGTTTCTCCTCTACGGAAGATCCCTCACTGTTTCCTCTGCTTTTGAAACAACAACAACAACGGTGGTAAAATACTTGTATCTGACTATTTTCTCATGAACAGAACACTGGGTTCTGACCAGGAACATTTATATATATGAAAAAAAAAAAACTCCGGGGAAAATGTGTTTGTTATTGTCTGTTTGCCTGCTTGTTTATTTATTCATTGGTTTATTTATTGTTTGAATATGGCCTATAAACACTAATGAAGATGCTCTGGATTTTCTTTTCGTTTTAATTTAGCCGAACATTTTCACCTTACTGAGAAACAAGAGGTAAATACTCTTGAATAAGTGACATGAGCAGAGGTGTTTCAGTCGTTGGTCCACTGACAGATCAACAGACACTCACTGAGCTCTGATTAGTGTTAAAGGTTTGTATTAACTCATTGCTCTTGCTGCCATTAAAAACACACTTTTTGATAAAAGACTGTTTTGAAAAAAAAAAAAAAAAAACGCTGAAAGGCTGAGCCAAATCCGATATGATGCTTTTCAGTTGCCTTTTATTTATTCAAGTCCATTTATTCTGAATCCCTTTTCTCCCATTTGTCTGAATAATAAACACACAGTGGATTTGATTAGATTAACCTCCACCTTCATTTCATTTTACTAATCTCTCCATGATGTTTTCTCTCCTCCAGGTGTGGTTTGAGTTTCCCCTGGTTTCCTCTGCTCACGCTCGACTCATTTCAGTTTGAGGTCGGATGGCAGAGATTTGTCAGGACGCACAAAGTTTGAGTTGTGTTGATTTTTCAGGTGAAAGTAATGAGTTTGCTCGGCGGTATTTGTCATGATTGTCGGTGCTGCTTCAATGTAACGATGAGCCGTCGCGCCTGTGCCCTGACACTCATTAACTGATCGAGACAAATTAATCCCCGTGCGCAAAGTCATTGGCCAATGAAATATTGGCTAATGAAGACGTCTTTGCTTGATCTCAGCGCTTGTGTTTAATGCCGTGGGTCTACTTGCTTCACCATCGATCACGCTTATTTGTTGTACAGAGACACACTCAACTGCTCCTGTAAATGTTGTAATAATAAAGTATTGTACTATGGCTCTGGTAAAAGCTGTAAATTGCCCTTCAAAGACATTCAATGAAATGAATAAATTACTATATTATAACTCTTTGTCTACTATGATCTCTAGTTGTTGGGCTCAAAGTTAAGTTTTGATCTACTTGGCTTTAGCTGTCGGATCAGACGGGCTGTAGTTGTTTTGTTTTTTCCAAAGTCCAATCCTGAAATCTTGACCAATATTGGGCCAATACTGAGCCTGAGCATCGGATAGAACCATCTGTGTTTAAACATGAAGTTATATCTTGGGATGTCTGATAATATCGACCGACTGATATTATTAGCCTGATATTAGCATAATTATGTAATATCTGTAAGAACTGCTATCGGCTTTCCTATGATAATGAAAACCCGATAACGCAATACCTGGGTTTTCAAATGATGTGCCCTAAAATTTGTGCAATGCCCCGGAGACAGACCAGTCAGATGCCTCAGTGCTCACTAGATGGCAGCATTGCAGCTCATTTTAATAATCTATAGTGATAATCAGGGGGTTGTTTGCAGAATGCTGGTGCCAACAACTCTTACAGTGGTTTGTACAGATAAATAAACAGATATTACCAGGCACTCAATAGTATTTTAATTCTATCCCCTAGGGGGCAGAAGATGATTGAGAAACACTGTTTTAATCCATCAACTTAGTGAGCAGGCAACACTTAACTTCCACCACTGCCCTGCTATACCGGTATCGGTTGATATCGGAATCGGAATATAAGTGTTTGGATTATATCGGCATAGCTGATATCGGCAATAAGTAAATATCAGGCACGCAGAGGGAGAGAAGAAAACACCCAACAGACGGACCAGCAGCTTCTCAAACCAGTGATGAAATCAACTTCTTGTTCTTGTCTTCTGTGCTTTATTTAAACTAGACTTTATTAAAATGACACTCCTGCACCAAACCTCAATTAAGGTCAAAGTTTGTGTTCGGAGAATAAACATTTCTAGCTGCATGATTTAGTTTGGGATGATTTTTCTGTAGGAAGATTATCTCACTCTACTTTCTTGACATTCACTCATTGCTGCTTTAATAAAAATCTGTCTGCACTTTGAAAGCACTTTTCCTAGCTTGACGACAGACTGCTTTCATATTCTGCCATAATTGCAGAGGTTTTAAAAAACACCCCAATTTAACAGCCATCAGAATCAACAGACTGGAGGAGCCAGGATCGTACCACTTGTGCATGTAGATAACGTGCGTCTCTAACTTAGAAACCAGGACCTGGGGGCACAAGTTCTAATGAATCAAACAACTGTAATAAACAGTTATATTCCGTTTTAAATTAGTATCCACTGTTATTCAGCCCACATATGAAACGTTGTTTGACAGAGGATAATTGCGGCCCTCCTGGATGACCTGCAGAAATAATTGATAGTTTGACAAAGGTTCTGTGTACTGTATTTACCCTCTGAGCTGAAACGCTGATGTGAAGCTTAAGAAGTCCTCAGCAACATTAAAGAGCAGGGAAGCAGATCATATGTTCATGGTGTTAGTCTGAAGTATTAACACAGTCAAAACACAAATGCTTATGGGGGTTTGAACAGCCCCCATTTTGTACAACTGTGTTAATAATTGAGGTTTTGGTTGAACTGAGAGGCAGAGTCCAGCAACTACAGTGACCAAGAAGGCAGGAATGAAACAGTTTCTAAAGAATGAGAAAAATAGGAGTTTTAGTAAGTTAACTTTGACTTTCGCTGACTGAAAATACGGAGCAGTGTTTTGCGAGTGCACAGACTTGACCCGACAATCATGATGATTTTGCTGCTCCTGGTTTCACCTGACAATTAATCTCATGACCGAGGCTAATGTAGACACTGATTAGCCTCCACATCACCGGCTAATAAAAGTTAAGTTTAAGAGTAGAGAACAAAGTTTTTCTTACATTATTTTTCTCAAGCTTAAGGGAAAGAACAATGTGGAGCAACAATAACATACAGTATTAGGCATGGATAATTATGTAACATGATTTAATATAAGTTCAAAAGGGAGGAGGTGGGATAGGTTGTTAAGGAGATGGCCCAATAGTTCGAAACTACAAAGCACCCTCGCTTATGTTGACAACATTTCAGCTTCCCTGACTGTGTGTTCCACTGGACAATGTGAGTATCATTCACATGCAGTAACCAATCAAATCAACTACTATCTTTCTAATTTCCCTCCTCGTCCAATCCAATACCGTCTTTTCTCCTCCAGCATGTCCTGAGCTGCCGTTGCTGTGGCGATGACTTCCCTGTTTACGTCCTGCAAAGTTAAGTTGAGGCTTAGGGATCAGATTGGACGACTATGGTTGTTTTTGTTTTTTTGATGTTCGAGTATCAGTATCAGATCCATCCAGGTCCTTATTAGCCATCCCTGCCTAAAACACAGCATCACATATAAACATCACAGCACTGTGCTGCTGTGATGTTTATATGTGATGCTGTGTTTTAGCTGAGAGGTTTAACAAAATCATTTTCAAGTCCAGATTAAACCTTGTATGGGGGTAGGCGGACCATATCTGACCACCTGACCACCTACTGGGTACCGCTGCAATAGATGAAGACCATGGAGTAGCTGTTTTACAATGCCGAGGTTTTTTTGAGAAAATAAAATACAATGTGAAATTTAGGAGGAAATACGGGAGTTAAAAGTTGATTCATGTGCCAACAGCAGAGCACAGAGAACATCCTGCAGCCACGGCCTTCAGCTGAAGCAGAGACGAGGAAATTGAATATGTTTTGTTTTGATGGATGAATAGCCCAGTTTTATTTATTTACAGCTCTTTTTGAAGATGGAACATTGTTACTGTGGCTGTTTTTCTATGACACACATGACTGATCAGCTGCTCTTTGATGGCTCAGAATTAATACTTTTTTTTTTACATGAATCACTTCAAAAGGTTTTTATCACAGCAGCTTCTTTGACCATTATCAAGACCCAAGGTACATATAGCAATTAGAATTGAGTTTGTCTTCATCTATTTATTTTATTGAAAATAAAAAAATAAAAAAATAATACTTTTCAGAGCCTATGAAGTATAGAATCATGAACAAAAGAAAAACTTAGTGCTCAAAGTTTTTTAAGTTCTAATGAGAGAATCTAATTTTCCAGTCTGCTGTTCTGAACTGAATTTTAATCTTAGCTCTGAGACACGGTGAAAATCCGTGACACACTCCGACCTTTTTCACTGGCTGACATCAGGCCCCTCCTGAGCTGACACACACACACCAACCTGGCTCCACAACGATGACAAATGTCCCTGGTTCTCGGAGCTCTGTACCTGTGCAGTCACTTAGATCAATGCCAAGAGCTAAGTTATTGTTTTTCACCAACAGCTTTCTGCAACAACACAAAGAGTCTGAGTGGAGCCAAAATCCTCTTTATTTTACTCACAGTTCACCTCAGGTATCAAACTACTGAGCTCCACTC